CCGGGTCTGGAGTGCGCATGGCCTAACGAGCCTTGGCGCGGCCAGGCGGATTTCAGCTCCTCGGGCACAGGCTGCTCCTGCTCTGGCTCGGCCCCCCGCCTCCTCGCGTCGTGAGCCCCGAAAAAACCTCAATGAGAGCTCTTTTTTGTTTTCGATGTCTGGTCGGGGCTGCCAAGAAACTGCTCAGGGAAGAGATCGGGTCTCGGCGAAGGACCCCAGCTCTCAACGAGTCCACGATGTGAAGCAATCCCGACGTCGGAGTTCCGGGGCAGCCCTCCTGCACCACCGTTCATGACAGCAAACAAGGGCCACCACCAGCAGAACTCCGTTCCCAGAGGCCATCCCCCTAGCTGGTGGTACTCCGTTCCGGGCACTCCCTGGGAGCGCGCCTGGAACGGGGCGCCACCAGCTCGGAAGGAGGAGCGGCCAGCCCCATGGCTGGTGGTGGTGATTATTTCTTCTGTGGTGAACCGTGGCGCTGTGCACCCGTTTTGGCGGCGCGCACAGGGGGGTAATGAGAGGGAGGGGGCAAGGCTTCTCAGAAGGGGGCTGCTTCTCAGAAGGCGCCAGCCCTAAAGGATGCATCCACAGGCAAGGCCCGCGCCTTCTTAGAAGCAGGGGTTTCTTCTAAGAAGCCTTCCCCGTCCCCATACCCTCTCTGCGCGTGGCTGTTGATTCTTCCTTCTCTGGTGAACATTGCCATAGCTCGGACGTCCGTTCACCGTGCATGTTTCGGCTTCGTGCGTTTATTTTTTCGCAAGATGATCCAAGATGCTCCTCGGTGGTCCTCGACAATAAAGTGCACACGTCCGAGCGATGCACATCTACAGGCAAGGCCCCCGCCGTCTAAAAAGCAGGGATGCTTCTACGAAACCTTCCCCCCTTCCCCTACCCCCCTCTGCGCGTGGCTGATGGTTTTCCTTCTCTGGTGAAGCGTGGCGATGTGCACCCGTTTTCGGCTCCGTCGCCGGATGCTCGTTCGGGGCGCCGCAGCCGCCGCTGCCGCCGCTGCCGCCGCCGGCTGGGCGCCGGGCCTTGCCGCCGCAGGTCAGGCGCAGCGGCGGCAGGCCCACGAGCTGCAGCGGCGGCACGGCTTGCGGGCCGCCGCCGCCGGGCGCGGCAGGCGCGGCGGCGTCGCCCTCGGGGGGTCCGCCTCGCGGCGTCGGCTCATCGCCGCCGCCGCTGCCGCCGGCCGTCGTCGGGGTCGTCGCCGCCGCCGTCGCCATCGCCGCCGACGCCGTCCGTCGCCTTCGTCGTCGTCGTCGTCGGCGTCGTCGGCGATTTCGCCTTCGCCGTCCTTTTCGCCGCCGCCTTCGCCGACAACATCGGCGTCGCGGTCGCGGTCGCAGTCGCCTTCGCTGGCGTCGTCGTCGTCGCCGTGGTGTTCGTCGTCGTCGCCGCTGCCCTCTGCTGGCCCGCCCGCGTCGCAGGTGGGCAACTGGCCGCCCCTCGGCCCCAAGGCGGGCTGGCCCCAGAGTGCCCCCAGACCCTGGGCGTCCTCCCCGCCGCCGCCGACGTCGCCGGTCGCCCGTCGCCCGTCGCCGCCGTCGCCGCCGTCGTTCCTGCTCCGGGTCTGTCTGGGCGCGCGGCCCGCTCCAAGGGAGCGGCCCGCGGCGCGAGGGTCCGGCGAGGAGCAAGGGGCGATAGAGAGGCCCCAGGACTCCAAACTGCACTGAAGGAGTCAGGAGGTCGCGGGTCTTGGACGGTTTTGCCTCCATGGGAGGCAGGGGCTTGCACACGCCTCACGCCAGGAGGAGGAGGAGGAGGAGGTGCAAGATGGCGAAGAGCAGGCGGAGGAAACGGCGGGGGAGGAGGACGATTAGGACGCAGATGAGGAGAAGGAGGACGGTCTCCCGTCGCCTCCCCCATCTCCCGCCACCAGGCCTGCCCGCGCCGCCCGATCTTGAGCGAGCATAATGCAATGAGAAGATTGGCTGAAAAGATACGTTCCAGGATCTTCAAGAGTATCTGGCGGCGCAGCCGGTGCGGAGCATCAGGACACATGGGAAATCCTGGAAACCCTGGGAATGTTGGAACGTATCATTATCATGACCTCTTTCTCCTCTGACAATCGCCCTCCGGTCCCCGTTGCCCCCTGTCCTCCCCCAGCTGCTCGTCGTCGTCGTCGTCTTCGGCGTCGGCGGCGGCGGCGTCGTCGTCTTCGCCGTCGTCGTCGTCGTCCTCGTCGCCGCTTTCGCCGACGACATCGCCGTCGCGGTCGCGGTCGCAGTCGCCTTCGCCGCTCCTCTGACTATCGCCCCCCGGTCCCCGTCGCCCCCCCGCCCTCCTCAAGCTGCTCGTCGTCGTCGTCGCAATCGCGCCTCGCTCTACGCCCCCCCCCCCCCCGCCCCTCCACAGAACCCCGCCCGCCCAATCTGCCTCGCACGATGCGGCAATTCGACGCCACGGAGTTGCACGGTCGGGAAACTCTGTCCGCGGCATCGGGCCTGCATCCCCAGGCGGGTGGTAATGCGGGGTGAGCCTACATCGGTTCAGAAAACGGGCCCTAAAGGGGCCCTGTAGGCCTGTACGGCTTTTTTCGGGCTCCTGCTGGCTCCAAGCGGGGCCGAAAGGGCCCCTCTTAGGGCCCTTTCCTTCACCTCCAATCGAAGCCACCCCCCATCACCACCCGCACGGGATCCTGGACTCTGGGGCCTTCTCCCGGCCCCAATGGGCCGAAACCGGATGAAGAAAAACAGGCAATGTCCTTCCTCTTCACGGCACACAGCTCAGGCTATGTTTCCTTCTTGCGGAACCTGGAACGCAATCGAAAAAAAACACAGTCCGACCAACGCGTAGGTGCCCCCTGGAAGAAAAGCGTGCGTGCGTGCGTGCGTGCGTGCGTGGGTGTGCGTGTGTGTGTGTGTGCGTGTGTGTGTGTGTGTGTGTGTGTGTGTGTGTGTGTGTGTGTGTGTGTGTGTGTGTGTGTGTGTGTGTGTGTGTGTGTGTGTGTGCGCTTGTGTGTGTGTGCGCGTGTGTGTGTGTGTGCGTGTGTGTGTGTGTGTGCGTGGTGCGTGCGTGCGTGCGTGCGTGCGTGCGTGCGTGGGTGTGCGTGTGTGTGTGTGTGTGTGTGTGTGTGCGTGTGTTCGTGCGTGCACGCGTGCATGCGTGCGTGCGTGCGTGCGTGCGTGCGTGCGGCGTGCGTGTGTGTGTGCGCTGTGTGTGCGCTTGTGTGTGTGCGTGTGTGTGTGTGTGTGCGTGTGTGCGTGCGTGCGTGCGTGCGTGCGTGCGTGCGTGCGTGCGTGCGTGCGTGCGTGCGTGCGGCGCGCGCGTGTGTGTGTGTGTGTGTGTGTGTGTTGTGTGCGCTTGTGTGTGTGTGTGCGTGCGTGCGTGCGTGTGTGTGTGTGTGTGTGTTGTGAGTGTGCGCTCGCGTGTGTGTGTGTGTGTGTGTGCGTGTGTGTGTGTCGTGGCTGCCGCCGCACGATACATGCGATCTCGCCTGAGGGCCCGGCCGCGCGCGTCGGCTCCCACCTGATTCCGCCTCGACGCTGCGCGCGAGGCCGTGACCGGCCAAAAGTAAGTGTGTGTGTGTGTGTCGCTTGGCTGCTGCCGCCTGAGATGGGCCTGGGCGGGCAGCGTCCTCCCTTTCCTGAGCGGGCTGCAGGATCGCACCGCGTCGCCGACCGATGCATCGCCGATGCACGGGCGACGCCGGGAAGGAGAACATCACGCCGAGGATCGCATGGAATCGCCGATGCATCGACGACGTGGCGCAATCCTCCTACCCCATGCCTCGAGTTCCTCAACGCTCGCGCGGCCTGGACCAGCGGAGTCGCGAAGCGGCCACCCGCTGAGGCAGCATCGTGGGCAGAGTAGTGACTTCAGGCCGCCCGCCGTGGTGCCCTCGGATCAACTCTCCAAGGCCCCCAGACGCCGTCGACCTCAGCATTCGTATATATATTCAAAGTCACGGGTTGATCCCAGGCGGGCCCGAGGACACTAGCAGGGCGTCCAACCTCTCGAGCGCCCGCGCCAGAGTCACCGCCGTGCCGAGGCGCGAATCTGCTCAGGCCAGCTTTGGCTCACAATCGATCCCCGGACCTAGAGGCCTCCCAAACGGAGTCCGAGCAGATGCTGTCGCAGGACCCGCGCCAGAACGCCGATGCATCGCCAACGCATCGGCGATGCATCGGCGATGCGGCGCCATCCTCCGACGCCACTGCTCGGACCCAATCCGGGAGGCCTGGGGCACGAGCCACGGCGTGAGTCGTGGTCAGGGTGAGTGGCAGCCACGGAACCGTGGGTGGCCCAAAAGGGGCACAATCGTGTCCCACTCGACACTCCTTTAGGGGGGGGCCTCCTTCAGGGGGAGAGGGGCCCCGACCGACCGTGGGGAAGCCTAGTAGGACTCGCAAGCCTCCCGGACACCATCCCGACCAGCTTTCCTCCCGGGCCGCGCCCAGACGCGGCCACGAGGCACCACGCCTAATGTCAACCGATCGGGCCCCTCCCCGACGCCATCCTGACCAGCTTCTCGACCTGCGCCCGGCCGCGGCAACGAGTCGGCGGCGAGCGAGGCGGGGAACTGGGAGGAGGAGGAGGAGGAGGCCTTGTCAGAAGGCGACGGGACTTCTTAGAACCCCCCCGGCCTTCTGTCAAGCTTTCTTTGTTTTTTAATATTCTCGGAAGGCCTAGGGCCCTCCGAGCCTTTTGAGAAGGCCCGCCCCCGCTCACCTACCCCCGGGGCGCGCCGCCGAACGAGGCCCCGACCCCGACGAAGCTCACAGAGACCCAGACGGCCTCTGCCCGAGGCGCGGCGCGGCCGCCGTTGCGAGGTCGTCGCGAGCGTGCTGCGCCCGCACCCGCCGCAAACAGGAGACGCCGTGATGCTCTAATGCGGGGTCCCCGGCAATCCCGGCTCTAGGCAACCGCATGTGGGCGACGAAAAGAAACGGGTCTTAGGCGAGATGACATAGCGACCTTACAGGGTAGCTTACGCGGCCCGCCAGCGCGGCACGCTACACTGGAAACGAGGGCGCTCACGCGCGACCTTGCGCGGGCAGCTGAAGGGCCACCATCGGCACAATCGTCCTCGTTTTTTGCGTTGCTCATGCGAGCCCCACCCCTGCAGGTCAGTTCTCTGAAACAACGGCAGGGGATCATAATCCCACCAGCCATCTGAGCGTAGGTGGTCTAGGGAGGTTTCTCTTCCAACCCTCTTCTTCCCAGTCGGGGAGGGGTTTGCCCCTCCCCCTATCCCCTCCCCTGGACCTGGAGGGGGGGTTCGCGAGATGTCAGAGGGCCCTTGTGGGCCCAAGATAGCTCTAAGAGCGCCTCAGAGCGCTCCAAGAGGGGCCCAAGAAGCGATTTTTTGGGCGTCCGAGGGGGAAGCAAAGTAAGGACACCCCCTTCTTTGCTCGAGCTCTTCCAAGATGACTCCAAGAGGGCTTCTGAGGCGCCCAAGACAACTCCAAGATACTCCCGAGAGACACCCAAGAAGCCCACAAGCGGCCCCCGAGAGACCCAGGAGAGGGTCTCAGCGGCATACAAGACGTCCCAAGAGGCTCACAAGACCGCCAGGAGGCCCCCAAGACGCCCCGAGAGGTTTCTAGATTCTAGATTCACCCTTGTTGCCCGCGCTGTGAGACTTTTTGTGATTATTCCTCCCTTCCCCCGTTAGCTATCATGGGCATCGTTTCTGGATGGGCTGGTGGGAATACACGAAACGTCAAACAATTGAAGGATGCCTGCAGCCCAGTGAGCCGCAACGGGGGTGTCTGATACACCAGTGTCGATTGGACCTGTAGGGGTAGGGCCCGCAAAAGCGTCGCAAAACTCCTTTCCCCTGGGCCGGCTTTTCCTCCCACGAGTCGTTCTCTGACGGTCCCGGGCCCGGCGAGGGCCTCCGAAGGCCGAAAGCGGCCGCAAACCGCCCGTCATGTCCCACGGCGCGAGCACGTCTGGGGTTCACGCAGCGGCCCCCGAGCCGCCTGCCAGCTGCCTGCTGGGCTGCCGCGACCCGGGCCCGCTGCCTGGGTCCCGCGAGCTGGACAGCCGGCTGGGCGGCCTGCTGAGTCCCCCGAGGGTGACGCGCGCGCCCCGTGCGTCCAGGTGCATGGCCACCTCGGGGGGGTCGACAGCCTCCCTCCTGCTCCGCGGGGGGGGGGGGGAGAAGGATGACACAGACATGCGATGTCCTGATCTGCTCAACATCGAGCCCCCAGAAGTCCCAACCCTTTCTCTCCGGCGAGGGCCCCTGGAGTCCGAAAACAGGCAAGAACCTCCCGCCCTGAATTTTCCACGACGCGAGCATATCTGGGGAGCAAGGAGGCAACCCCTGGGAGGCTCCCGTAGGAATTCAGAGCGTAGTACTCAGCCCGATTCGGGGGCTACGAAACCAGCGTAGCCTGCAGTCAGCTAGTTGATCTGGAGTAACCGGGATCAAGCAGGACTAACGGGATTATGCCAGATTGGTTTGTTTGCGACTACGTGTCTCCTTGAAAGACTGTGCGGCCGCCTCCTGCAAGAGCACCTTAACTCGTTCGAGGCGGTGCGGGGGAGACAAGCTGATGAGGTCATTGTATTCCCTGTCGATCAGGTACTGGAGGCGCTGCTTGAAATCGCCTCTCTTGTATACGTGCTTCGGATAGATGCGCGCGGAGCGAGACAGAGCAGGGCGATTTCTGAGCGAGATGAAAATCGCCGCGTGGCGCTGATGCCTCGGTCCGAGAGCTCCTCGGGCGTGTCGCAAGTTGCCCCCGGAATCGAGAGCTGGCAGAGCAGCCTGCTGAGTAGAGAGGTCCAGCATCGGTCCTGGATCGCCAAGGTGTCAGAATCCTTCTGGTAGTGGGTCAGGTCCGAGACGGCCATCTCCATGAGCGGGTAAAGTACTTGATGCCTTCTCGTGCTTACGCGAACGTCCTACATTCTGGGCAGGATGGGACTGGGGCGATGGAGCAGCCAACAGGCCAACAGAAGAGGATCACGCGGAACGAAATTGAAGTCCCCGGTGATGACCAGGATGCGCCGAAGAGGGTCTTCCCGGGCCCAAGAAGTGTCATAAGTGACCTGGGCGGAGGAGAGGTCATGGTCGTGGATGTTGTGGTGGCGCAAACTAACCTCAGGTAACTCGGTCAAGGATGTGGAAGATTCTCCTGAAGACCCACGGGGAAGCCGTCGCACAGTCCGGGGCGAGCTGGGAGAAAAGGGGGGCACCGTGAGCACGCCACTGGCAGCAGCGGAGCCGAACGAGCCGGAGACTGCGCGTTTGTGGCTGACCTTCTTGAAGAAACCGATCGCCTCCGACTCCGACTGGTGGACCTCCTGGATCGCGACGATGCTGTCTCTTAGGGGCGCGTGGATATAGTGTGCCTTAGTCGATGCCACTTCAGCGTAGCAGCGCCCTGGAGTTCCAGGAAGAGGGAAAGTAAACAAATTGAGGAACGGGTCGAAGCCGGCAAAGGGTTTGGCTTCATGGGCCATGAAGTGGCGGAAGCCTCCAGTCTGGTTCGGCGTCAGGTTGGGCGATGGCGTCGATGTCGGCCACGAAAGTAGCGCGATCCCAACTCCGAGGCGCCAGTCCCCCGTCATTGAACTCGAACGTTGTCGGTTGCCAACCTGGATGAGGGGTGATGCGAACGAGCGGTGTCCAGGCGTCCGAAATTCAGCCCTGCTCGCGGTCCAGGTAGAACCTATGGTCAGAACGTCGCTGTCGCATAGCGTTGCTCCGTGGATTCCCCGACGAATTTGGAACGCATTCTTGTCGGGGCCGGTGTGGAGCTGCGTCTGGACGCCCGTAGCACCGGGGAGTGGAAGCCGCATCCAGCCCCGCTCGAGCTTGAGGAAGCCGAGGGCGTTGGAGGCTCTGCTGCTGGCGAGGCCGACCGCGTCCGTGAAGTGGATGGTATAGAGCTTGCTTTGCGCTGCACCCAGGAGTTTCCAAGTGCCGTCCAGCTTAGCATTGTTGAGCCAGTGCGGGACCGAGCGCTGGACGTCCTCTTTCTTGCATATGAGCGGGGTGGTGACTTTGATGACAGCGTGGTCGATGCTCATCTTGAAAGCATGGCCTGCTGGCCGATGAGATTGAAACGCGTTGTCCGCCACCGCCTGAGCAGCGTGCATTTTTTTTATATCGTGGGCAAGGGCTTGCAGCCTCGCCCCGTGCTCACCAACCGTAGACTCCGCTGCTTTGATTCGGACCGAGATGCCGTCGAATTGTTGCTGGGGCGTCGTCTCCATGGCGCCCAGATCAGGCTTAAGAGCAACAGCGACGGCAGCCACAGCAGCCTGATGGGCGTCCTGGACAGCGTGCCTGAGCGAGCCCAGGGCTTCGCCGAGAGGGTCGACGCCAGCCTTGACTGCCTCGCCAGCGGCGGTAACGATGGAAGCATGGATCTGGTCTCGTTGCGCCTGGAACTGCTCGGAAAACGCCAGCGGCACAAAGGGCGCGGATGTGCCCGTGGATGTCGTCGTCATACTCGTCGTCGCTGCTGGCGCGGGACCTTTTTGCCCTCGCGAGCACAAGCAGCGGGGCGACAATGGTCCCGAGCGCGAAAGCCAGCACGATCAACACCGCCCAAATTCGTCTAGGCGTTCCCCCTGCCCGCACCGTTAGCACCCATTGAATCAAATAGCCGAACAGGAACGGGAAATTTCACTTTTTACACACCCGACCGTCTGAAGGTCGGGGGGGGCTCCAACAAGTGCTCAGCAGACGACGGAAGCTGGCCGCTGACTAGCCGTATCCACTTCGTTTCCGAAGACACGGACATATGGAGCCCAAGTGTCTACGGAAGGAAGAGAGGGATGAAGATGAGGAGGATGAAAAGGAAGATAAGGAGGAAGAAGGAGAGGCCGACACGGCGAAGTTGAAGAATATGGGGAAGCAGAACAGGAGGAGGATGGTCAGGAGGCGGGATTAAAGAGGATGAAAAAGGAAGGGAGGACACACGCACGCTGCTGAACCTTGACACGGCGACCCAACGGACAGTCTGCCTGGCGCAGGAGGAAGAGGAACCCATACATCCGACGCCCTGATTGTTTCAATACTGGGTCCCCAAAAATCCCGACCCTTTCCCCAGGGCAAGCTCGTCATCCCGAAGTGTTTCCCGACGGCCCGCGGGCCTGGCGAAGCCCCCGAGAGGCCGAACGCGGCCAACAATCTTCCGTCGCGGAGGGGGGCCCTGGCGAAGGGGAACTGGAAGCTTTGCTGGTCGATGTTTTGGCGACTCCTTCACGCCTGGTACTCGTGGTACTCATTCTGGTATTCCTCGCGGTGCTCGTCTGCTTCATGTGTGCGCTACGTTGTGACATGTTTAACGTTATGCTGGTTCGCCCGTTGTGTCATGTCGGGACGCCCCCTATTGGTTCGGCCACCAATCTGCCAAAGCACGACCGATATTGCATTGGCGTGCCCCGAAGAGGAACAGAGGCCCCCCAAATGGGGTCCGAGTAGATGGGGTCGGCGGAGCGCGCCACATCGCCGATGCATCGGCGATGCACCGGCGACGTCGGAGGTGCACCGGCGCCGTCGGCGCTGAGAAAATCGGGCTCCACATCGAGCAGCATTGGCGATGCATCGGCGATGCGGCGCGATCTTCCCCGACCCCATCTACTCCGACGCCATTTGGGAGGCCTAGAGTTACGCTGCGGTTCGTCAAAGCCGCGGGCAACATGCTACACCAGCTGGCGCCAAAAGATGGATGCCGCCACGCGCCGAAGGTCAGGTCAAACGGCATCGGGATAACGCCAGCAAGATACGGCACGAACGAGCAAGAGGAGGAAGCAACCACATTGGACCCCCCCCTGCGCGTGGATGACTTACGTTGGGGTTCGTCGGAGCAGCTGGCGGCCCCCCGCCTCATCCGAGCGCTGGGCCCCGCCTGGACCACGCGCGGGCGCCCACACCTGCGCCCCCCTCCCCCCCCAGATCCAGGCGCACCTGGAGCTTCTCCAGCTCCTCGCCCTCCAGCTGCGGAGGCCGCCCGCCGGCCTCCGACGCCTGCTCGGCCTCGGCCTCGGCGGCCACCTGCTCCCTCGCGGCCGCAAACTGCTGGAGCACCTCCGGCGAGCGGGCCGACGTCGGGGACCCCCATCGGGTGCGGATTGGCGGCGCGCAGAGGGGGGCCAGGCAGAGAGGGGAAGGCTTCTGAGATGGAGGCTGCTTCTTAGAAGGCGCTGGCCTTTACATGTATGGAAAGCCCAACGCCTTCTGAGGAGCGGCCTCCTAAGACGCCTTCCCCCCTCCCCCTGACCCCCCTTTTCGCGTGGGCGACCCCCATCGAGTGCGGAGGCGGTGCCAAGTTTGGCCCGCGGCCCTCGAGGGTCGACGGGGGGAAGGGGGTTCCAGATGTCTTGTGGGGACACGATGCTTGCGTACCACTCCCACGAACAAGCTGCTCCGGCACAAGACCGTGGAGCGGGGGCTGCGTGCAAAAATGGAACCCCTTGGGAGCACGATGTTTGTACACCACCCCTACAAACAAGCTGGTCCGGCACAAACTGCGCGCGCGGGGGCGGTGGCCATAAATCGGCCCCCGATCTTGGAACTTCCCTGAAATCCTGGCGTCTCACTTTTCTGGAGCCCGGCGTTTTCGCCTTGTCTCGGGCCCCGAGACTCTCACAGATCGATCCGGCTCGAAAAATGGCAAGAAAGATGGATCTGGGGCTCTGGTCGAAAATTTTTCACGATGTTGTATTTTTTCGCTACGTCGGATCTCAGGGCTTGTCATTTGGCCTCCCATGGAAGCCTCCTCGGGTCAGGACACCAGGGCCGGCAGCAGAAGTTGCCGGGCCGGGCCTTCTCCGCCCGCTCCTCCTCCCGCTGTCTCAAAAGCTCTGGGCCACCCGACGTCGCGCCCCGCTGCGGGCGAGACCTGTGCCCGTATCCACTGCAGCTTGGAGTTTCGGGCTCCCTTCCCCAGAAACCCGAGGCGCACTGGATATGGACAAAAATCTGGCCCCTTGCTGCCCCGATACGCAACACGCAACACGTAGCGTGTTGGCACAGAGCTCGACAAGTAGACTGAAAACGTAGGTTTGGCGCGAAACGTTCGCCTAAACGTGGACCAACACGTTAAGCCAACACGCAACATATTGACACGGACGATTTGAATACGCGCGTTGCGTTTCAAACCAGGCGTATCGAGGCAGCCAAGATCTGGCCCCGAGAGGCTCGATTGTTGTCCATATCCATTGCGCGTCGCCCTTGCGGCGCCCCCTTCCAAGACAGTCCAAGAAAATCCAAGACGCACCGGATGTGGATACAAATCTTGTCCGCAGCGTCGCACGAGGCGCGACGCGACCTCATCTGCGCGCTGCCGCGTCGCCTGCAGCAGAGCCACCCTCTGGCTAGAGAGCCACGGAACGCGGCTATCCTCGCGCAGCTTCTGGTGACCCAGTACATCCTGGAGCTTGCGACCCTGTCTTCCTCCTCCTCCTCCTCCTAGTCGTCATCACCACCACCATCACCACCACTACACCAAACCATCATCATCATCATCAGCAGCAGCATCAGCATCAGCATCATCATCATCAGCATCATCACCATCTTCATCAGCATCAGCATTATCATCATCAGCATCAGCAGCATCATCATCATCATCGTAATCATTATCACAATCATCAGCATCAATAGCATCATTATCATCACCGTAATCTTAATATGCGTCATCATCTCCATCATCATCGTCACAATCATCGTCGTCATCGTCACCGTCATATCATCACCACCACCACGCCCAACCATCATCATCACCATCACCATCAACATCATCATTATCATCACCGTCATCATCATCATCGTCATCATGATCACCATCATCGTTATCATCATCATCATCATCATCATCATCATCATAATCATCTTCATCATTACCCTCACCAACATCATCATTGGAATCGTCATCTCCATCGTCATCGTCAAAGCATCGTCATCATCATCACCACCACACCAACCAATCATCATCATCATCAGCAGCATAAGCATTAGCATCAGCATCATCACCATCATCAGCAGCATCATCATCATCACAAGCATCATCAGCTTTACCAGCATCATCATCGCCGTCACCAGCATCACCATCATCACCATCACGATCGTCATCACCGTAATCGTTATCTCCATCATCATCGTCATAGCATCGTCACAATCATCGTCATCATCATCGTGATCATCATCACCACCACCACACTTAACCATCATAACCACAATCATCGACAAGGTCATTATCGTTATCCTCATCATCCTCATCATCATCATCATCATCATCATCATCCTCAACATCACCGTCTCCCTTGGGGGTCCTCATCATCAGTTTCACAATTAGTTGTTCTCATATGTAGTCCGATTCACCAGCATCGTAAGCATTGCAGTCGCAATCATAATCATCCCACCTCGCTGTGTACACCTGATCAGCATCAAGCTCATCACCATCAACAGCAACATCATCACCAGCACCACCGCCATCATCACAATCATCATCATCATCATCATCATCATCATCATCATCATCATGAGGGCGATCGTTTTCACGCAGACGCTTCTATATCATGCAGTGTGCAGCCAGACGAGACAACGTCATCTCACGAACGCTTTACAACGGCAGAGCCTCTGAAAGCTTCTCCAGAGACCCCAGGCAAGGTCAGGGACAGCAGGGTTGGGCAAAAGAGAGTCACATAAAATTGGGAGGGAAAACTTTGAGCAAAAATGGGCCGCGGTCGCTTCCCACTCTCGCAGTTTCCACCCGCCCTCATTCCAGTCAAAGACAGTGCCATGAGGGCGATCGTTTTCACGCAGACGCTTCTATATCATGCAGTGTGCAGCCAGACGAGACAACGTCATCTCACGAACGCTTTACAACGGCAGAGCCTCTGAAAGCTTCTCCAGAGACCCAAGACCACTTTGTGCCCCGGGCCCATGAATGCCCTGGGATCCCCAGATCACGACAAGTTTGAAAGCAGTCCCGGACCAGACCGAGCGAGATGACATGAGTGAAAAACCTCGGCGAGCTTTTTACAAAGGCGGGGGGGGTAGGGCTGTGCAATTAAGGTCCAGAATTTCCCATTCGGGGCTTTGCCAGAGAGCTCGAGGTGGGGGCGACCAGACCGAGAGCACACCCCCCGCCCTTTACACTTAAAAGAGTCCAGAGTCCTACACACGTCGTCAGGTATATTACACAGCATGAGTCTAGTTGCTTTTCTCCATCGGGTTCCGAATTGGCAAAAATCTACTCGCTCCAATTTGACTTGCGGACAGGCGAGCAACCTTAGAACCTCAGGAAGGATCCAGAACATTGAGGTGAGAGGGTTCTCGACGATGCACGGGACCTTCATCCTCAGGCAGAGGCGTACCAGCTTTATCGTGAACCTGGTCAGCAAGTTACCGATACGCACCTTCTCCACGTCCACGGCACTGAGCTCTGCCAGGCCCCAGGGAAACTCGTTGGATCGGAGCGGCGGTGGGCGCCCACGACGTGCCCGGCTCAGTGTGTGACAGGGAGTTGCGATCATCACACCTTTTACTCTGCCAGTTCGGACGCGATTCAAAAGTCTTTGTTGATTTCGATTCTTTGTTAGATCGTGATCCGGGCCATGCACGACATCGGTCACTGTTGCACGGCCTCCAAGTTTTGTCACTTCCGCCGCGACACCTCCGCAGCCGGAGCAGACGTCCTCAAAAGCCCACTGCGCGGCAGCGACGGTGCGGCGGGCGGGGCGAGGCCGTTCAGCATCACGCGCTGCAGGTTGGCCTCGCACCACAGGGCGAACTGCTGGAAACTTTTGGGCAGCCGCTGCCACTGCGCCTGCACGCGGCCGCCCTTCTCGTAGCGGGCGACGCTTTTGTGGCTGCCCCAGCGGCCACGCTTCATGATCTCGCCCAGCGTGCGTCGCAGCTGCAGCCGATCCCACGACGCGCCGCTGTGGCGGAGCTGGTAAGGAACCAGCTCTGGAAGCCCCGGCCGCTTCGCAGCCGCCTTGAACTGCTTCAGGTACGCGGCGTAGCTGTAGTTGAAGACGGGCTCGTCGCCGCTCTTGCCACGCACCAGCTCGCGCAGCAGCTGCGTGGTCCACGCCTCCTCCTTGTCCCAGATGACGGTGTCGTCGTAGATCCCCACCTTGGTCGGCCTCAGCTCCTCGGACGGCCGGATGACGAACGTCCAGTGGGGCCCCACGTTCGACGACGGGGGGATGAGCCACTTCGCCTTCAGCTCGTGAATCTCCCCAGGCCGCGCGTAGGTCACAAGCGCGGCCAGCGTCTCGATGGCCATCGTGCGGAAGCCCGCCCGCACCAGCTCCACCATCAGGGCCGCCCACACCGGTCGCGCCTCGGGGAGCCGCGACTGCCCAGGAGCCAGGCGGTTCCAGCCCTGGAGGGCACGGTGGGCACGGGGAAGCCGAAAGGTCCCAGCTCGCCCGAACTCCGGGCGGAGGCCCTTGATGGCCGCCAGCAGGTAGTGCCCTACGCTCCCGTCCATGCCGTTGAAGAACTTCTCGTCGAACACCTCGATCAGGGCGAAGTCGACCTCCTCCGGGGAGTCGAGCGAGAGACCGAGCCTGGCGCAGTCCTGCACGAACCCCTCCATCACCTCCACGTACTGCTGGTCGACCTTCTCCCCCACGGCCTTCGTCTCCAGGAACGAGCGGCCGAGGGCGTCGACCTCCACCGAGAAGCGGTCCTGCCTCGCCAGCGCCGTACTCAGCCTCCTCAGCTTCGCCGGCTGCGAGATCGGCACGCTCCTCGGCAGGCGCGGGATCTCCCTCCGCGGCCGAGCCGCCGGAATAGCCGACGCCTTCTGTGCAGCATTGCGCCCGTTGCTCAACAGGCGCCGATCCTCTCGCCGAACCGGCGGCGGCCGGGTCGGCCCCTGCGACCGCATCGGGCTTTGGCCGCTTGTGCCCGGGCTCGTGCCGCCGCGAAGGCCCGTCGGCGGGATTGAGCTCAGACGGCACCCAACGAACATGGCAACGGATGTTGAGGGCCAGGGAAAGGGCGCACCACCTTCGACAGCAGATGTTCATCTGGAAATCCGAGGCCCTCCCCTTGCAGAACGCCAAGATCTG